AAGCACCCAGAGGTCCATATTCTCAAAATTTTCGCACCTCACCCTCAACATGTTTGGTATGGACTCTCATGCACCCATGAGCACACATTATGGGGAAAGATGAGATGGGAGTGGACTCATGGTTTTGAAGTAGGTAAAGTTAATACATCAAAGACAATGTTTTTAGTTTTATTTTCTATAGTACCATAATCAAAATTTATAATTAGATTTCTATGGTTGCCAAAAATAGCTGATAAAAGATCATGGGAATTTGTTGGTGCTTCATTTTGACTATATAATGGTGATGTTATGATAATGAATTTTACTATTTAAAAGTGTCATTGAAAATCCCTGATAAAAGATCATGAGAAATTTGCTGGCACTTCATTCAGACCCCGGGTATTCAACCTTTTAGCTGGGGGCCAGTTCCAATCTGTTGTCTATGTGGTGTTTCTATAAACAGAAAAACCTTTTCTAAAAATCGGCCATACAATGATATATTTTTTTTGGTCAAGTGACGTATAGCGGGTACCAAATTTTAAACAGGCGGTAGTGACGCTCGGTAATAGGAAAAAAACGTGTGGCTTCTTCAGAGTGTTTCTGCTGTGAAGCACATATTTGATATTGAATAATGTTGGTTGGAATGCCAGTAAACTATACCAAATTGATATGAAATGAGAATTTTGCCATTGGTTTGCTAATGCTTCAAAAGACACTGGCTCCAAACATTGCAATTTTTTCAAATTCTAGGCCTAGGCCTCTGCCTATCTACGGCCTGTTTTGGTATGCACAAGGCTTCGATCCACGAATGTGATTTTGACATGCTAAAATTTCTAAGCTAAAAAGGTTTACGAAGGATCACGTAAATTGCAAAGCACAGTAAACAGTAGAATAAGTAAATAAACACTATTGTGAACAATCGTAGTGCCTTTACTAGCCAGTTTTTTCTCACGCTAATGGTGCACGGTTGTTTTCGCCACCGTTAAATTACCTTTTCCTATACTTGAACACTGATTGTACTTTAAAATATCCATAGTAATACCCACTACTGCATATTTCACATGACCAGCTGTAAATAAACCTCGTGGAATGTGTCTATAATAAATTACTTGTGAGGGAATTATTTTAACCATGCTGAATTGAATTGAATTGAATTTATTCGATGCTCATATATAAAATATAAAAATACAATATAGGAATTTGCTACAGTAACACAATAAAAATACTGACATGCTATATCAGTATCATCAAAGATAATGTCAGTACATTATCTTACATTAAGTAACTGTAGGTCTATCTCGAAAAAAAAGCCCACCTTTAGAAGCCCATGTCTTTTTTGACATCATAAAAATTGGTAACTGTGAGGACAAAGACAGCCCATAATTATGATAATTTAATTGGGCCTGCAAATATAACATACTGTAGTATGTAGGTAATGGCAATATACTAGAATGCGCACTGAAAAAAATGCCAATATGAACTTTGAAAATGATGCAGAAAATGTATCATAGTGCTCATGGTAAGGCATAACCAATGCAATTCACAATGTTTGCAAATTAATAAATATAATGATGTTAAAAAATAATTATCATTTACTACTAATGTGAAAGATGATGTGTGCATAATTTTATGTGAGGGTGATCGCTGTAATATGGGTCTCTGGTTATTGCCCTGTAATTCCTAAGAATTATACAAACAGAAAGAAGTTTTTTTATCTCTTGAATGCAATTTTTTTGGTGTAAATCTGATGATTTATCACAACCACTATAACTACAACTAACACCTGGTTTCTATAACACCAAACTGATAGAACATTAGTCTCATAACTGTCACTACAATCTGTTTAAAAATAAGAAATTTGAAAGACTCCTAGATTCACAGGGCCACAGCCAGAAGTGTCGAGGGGATCCTGACCTCAAATTCAAAAGTTATCCTGAGATCTGATTATAGTAGTAAATGATCAGTAATTTGAAAAAATACAATAATGAATCAATCCTCCTTTTATTAAGATTTACAGAGTAACTGAGTGACCCTTGCCTCAGACCCAGCGCAATGCCCTGTCATCTATAAATCTTCAATGTTGTGCATACAGTTTGAAATAAAGAACATTTGTTACAATCATGGTAACTCTCTTGTTACCCATATGAGGTAGCAAATGAAAACACTGTAAAATTTATTATTACAGTGTTATTTGGTATAAACAGGGAAGAGTATAAATTAACTCTTTCCTGGTATAATACAGTTTAACCTCCCTGTGCGACCACCTCCCATAAGCGATCATCTCCCTTAACGTCCACTCTCATATGTTTCCGTTTGTTCTCCCTTTCTAATCAGTGCATTTGATACCTCTTGTGAGCTACCACCTCCCGTAAACAACAGTAACCACTTTTTGACTTTTGGATTTTTCTTACGATTTGCCTCCTGTAAGCGACCAAATTAAAAATCTGTAATACTGTATCTTTTGACAACAAATACTGACTACCTAACAACTTGAACAGAAAATTAGACGCAGCGATGATGCACCATTAGCTGAATCAAACGAATATTATAGGCTTAAGCAGCACTCTAATGTCTAAAGAAAATAATAAAGTGATAATAAATATAAATAGGTCTATTCTCACTTTCAAGAAAACGTTTGTAGTTGGATAGAACAACATGCCTGTTTTTAAGACCTATTTAAAAATAGGCATTCATCAGAGGTTCATGAATAAGAATTCCTTTTGTTGGTGGAACCAGGAAATAGTGAAATCTCACCAGATTTATTTTCTTGTTTACACACTTCATTCTGGCAAAAATCGTATTAAGGACTAATTAATCATGTGTCTAATTCATCTGACATTGTCAGTTTTTTTAAAAATCTTTATTTGTTTTAACATGATGGTGAAATGTTAATAAGAATTTGCCAAACCAGTCACTCGTTGCAAATCCTGCTTCAGAAATCTATTTAATTATACTTATCTAACCTTTATGTATCTATATCATGCTATGCTGTTATTTTCCCCATTTTCAATGTTAACACTAAATTATTAACAATTTGGTGGTAGTTTCTGCCTGAGAAATGCCCAAAATCATAAACCTTGAAGGCTTTTTTCTCAAATATTTTTCTTTAAACAGCTGTATGTTTAAAATCATGTAACTTCATAATGAAATGTCAGATTTAAATAATTCTTTTACAATTTTATAGCTCTCATTTTACTTTTTAACCCTGTAATAACTAAAAATTGATTTTTGCGACGAGTGACTGGTTTGGCTTGTCTTTGCCACATTTATTTAATACAGTGGTTTGTATGAAAAAAGTAGTAAAAATGAAAAATATCATATTCTAAGTGAAAACTATTATGCATCATGGGGCCTTGTTGGCCAAATATTCTTTAATTAACCTATAGTTAATAAGCCCCAATAAAAATGGTTGACAAACCCTGATCTACAGTATTATTATTTGTTAAATTTAGTATAAGAGGACAATAAATTCTCTTCCGAGCTTGCTAGTTTTACTAAGCTACATAGGTGCAGTGAAAGAAAGTTGTACTGTGAGTCAACCTATAAACTTTGACCTTAAAAATGTGTGTCAAATTCAAGGCTTAAATAATACATCATTTCTTCAATGAATATTGAACCTTCACACATGGAACCACTTTACACATTGCATAATTAATCTGAACAATCAATTATGCATTATTGCATAAATACAGGTAACAACACATGTTATAAAAATGAAAACATTGCAAACACACAAATGGTGTTAACAGTTTGTCTTCTAAGTTCGTAATTTAAAAATCTGTTTGTAAGTCGTGAAAAAAATGCCTTAATGTGTATAAGTTAAAAATTTAGAAAAGCAAAAGAAAAAAAATAAGGATCCATGATATAACAATAACATGGTGTTTATGACTACAATAATTCCTAACACAGTAGCTTAAAAACTTGCAAATTCTGATTCTAAAGACTTTGATTTGTAGGGAACTTTCAATATTAATAAATTAATGTTTAGGTTAGTAATATTGTAGGGCATCTTCAACGTTACTAATCTGGACATTAATTATTTTGTCATTTTATTGATCTTAAGTACTGTAATTGATACTTTTTGATCAATTATTTCCTTTGTTTTTTTTCCATTCTTGGGAATATGTTTATAATATTAATCGGTAGTGATTTGCGTAAAAAGTAAATGCAGTCGCATTTACTATAGCAAACTAATACTAGATATTTACGTTGCGTGAGCCTCTATGGACTCCACTGCTCTATATCGTGATGTTTTAAAATGCTTTAAAACCGCACATTATGTTTATCAGTAAATAAGCTTTTGAAATAACATTTAAGGCCTTAAGCCTGTTTATCTGCTGCAGCTGCAAAATCATTAGGAGCAAAATACATTTAGTATTTTATACAGATAGTATGAAATATAATATTGAACATTTTGAAAAAAAAATAACATAGGCAAATGCAACCTGCAAATGATTCCATGGGTCAATTGGCTTTTCAAGTTTTATATATATTTAGAGGAATCTGCAAGTGTCAAAAAAATTTCCCAAACTGGGATTCGAACCTAGGGCCTTCTGCTGTCTATGCAGATGCCTTAACCAACTGAGTCACTGAGGCTTTATATTCTTTTTATTCATTCTGTAAACTACTTTACTGTACTTATTTACCTGGGCCTGTGAGTGTTTGCAGCACACCTACAAACAGACCATTCACCCATGGAGAAATAATGTTCTCCATTGCTTTCATAAAAAAAAACAAAAAAAAAAAACGGTAAAGATGGAATTATATGGGCAGTTAAAATACACAAGCAATATAACATAAATACACTGAAAATTAATTTATATGATAAAGGGAATGATTTGGATTCTATGTTGGTAATTCAAAGTAAAAATGATGTTTGCCAGTGATGGGTTGCTAGTCTAATGAAACCACTGGGCCAGTGGTGAATTGTCATTGAAAAGATGTGAGTATCATCAATTTGTTTTCCTTGGAATCCAAATCATCAGTTTTACCATAAATACTACATCTGATTTGGATCTTACCTTCAGGTGTTTTGTACTCTCACAATGACTATTCCAGCTAGTAAGGACACTAATGTTGCAGATCTTCAAGAAGAAATATATTTGAATCAATGTTGGATTCAAGTTTGGCTAGTAATCAATGGACGTTTTTGCTACGCCCCACCCTGCGGTATTGATGCTAAGGTTTCGTACCTTAAACAGCATAAAAATTTATGCAAAACCTGTAAGTTTGTGGATGTGCATATTCCTGGCTATTAGTATTAAATAGCACATTGTGATTGGTCAGTTAGTTACGTTTGACCAATATTCTGGAAAGGTCCATTTAAGGTCAAAGGTCTGTTAATCAGTGAAAATTTACTTGCTTTGATTGAAGTTAACATATAATCCTTTTTAATTTTTAAATGTTGCAATTAAAAAGATTTTTCCAGATTTTATGAGAAGTACTAAAATATGTTCTTTGTATTTAAATTGTCATAAATTCTGTTCATAATTTTTATAAGCACCACGAAATTCAGTTTCCATTTACTTCAAATTTGAAGCAATAAAGAATAATTGAATTTTAGAGTAAATTTACCAGGAATGGAAGATAGCTCACCTCACAGAATGTGATAGGCTTCTTGGCATCTATGCTTGTTTCCCCTTCAGACGGTACATCACTTCCAGGCACTGATGCATGTTGCTGGCTAGTGTCTGACATTGTTTGGTCTTCCCAATGCAAATGTTCCAACTGATGTTGTTTTGCACCCACTGTTGGCTGAATAAATGAACCATCATCCTGTTTTTTCTGTGCTGGTATTGTATTATCTACTTGGTCTTTTATAGGCAAAGTTGGAGACTCTCCAAGGGGATGTGACTGCTGTATAATCTGATGTGGTGGTGGTGGTGGTCTTCTGTTTGCCTCACCAAGCATCTGAGGTTCGGCAAAATGGTATACTTGTTTTTCATCACGCTGATGTTGGGGAGGAGGTGGGGGAGGAGGTAGTGTCTCACTAGGCCACTGTTGATTAAGTTTTCCACCATCAGGCTGCATTGATGGAGGTTTTCGCTCAGACCTCTGTTGAGGTGTAGTTTGTGTTTGGGGAGGTCTCTCACTAGTCCGCATTTGATTATGTCTTCCACTACTAGGATGCTGTGATGGACGTATTCCATCAAAATGTTGTTTAGGTGTGATTTCTGGTTGGGGAGCCAGTTTCTCACTAGGCTGCTGTATTCCATCAAACTGTTGTTTAGGTGTGATTTGTGGTTGGGGAGGCGGTCTCTCACTAGGCCGCTGTATTTCGTCAAACTGTCGTTTAGGTGTGATTTGTGGTTGGGGAGGCAGTCTCTCACTAGGCTGCTGTATTCCATCAAACTGTTGTTTAGGTGTGATTTGTGGTTGGGGAGGCGGTCTCTCACTAGGCCGCTGTATTCCGTCAAACTGTCGTTTAGGTGTGATTTGTGGTTGGGGAGGCAGTCTCTCACTAGGCTGCTGTATTCCATCAAACTGTTGTTTAGGTGTGATTTGTGGTTGGGGATGTAGTCTCTCACTAGGCCGCTGTATTCCATCAAACTGTTGTTTAGGTGTGATTTGTGGTGTGGGAGGCAGTCTCTCACTAGGCTGCTGCATTCCATCAAACTGTTGTTTAGGTGTGATTTGTGGTTGGGGAGGCGGTCCCTCACTAGGCCGCTGTTGATTGGGTCTTCCACCACTAGGATGCTGTGACGGATGTTTTCCATCAGACTGTTGTTGAAGTGTGGTTTCACTATATTGCTGTGGAGGAGCTCTTTCTTTGAAATATTGTTGATCATGAGGTTGTTGATGTTGTACGATATGTGGCTTCATATCTGGGTGTTGCAATAAAGGTCTTCCTTCAGTCTGCAATGGTGGAGGTCTTGTACCAAATTGTTGTGATGGAGGCATTGCACCAAATTGTTGAGATGGAGCTATTGCACCAAACTGTTGTGATGGAGGAGTTCTTACACCAGCAAGTTGTTGTTGGTGTCTTTCATCAGGTAGTTGCTGTATAAGAGGAGGTTCTCTATCTGGGTACTGCAATGGTGATGGTTTTCCATGAGGTTGCTGTTGTACAAGATGTGGCTTCATATCTGGGTGTCTTCCTTTAGTCTGCATTGGTGGAGGTCTTGTGCTAAATTGCTGTGATGGAGGTATTGCACCAAATTGTTGAGATGGCGGTATTGTACCAAACTGTTGTGGCGGAGGAGCTCTTACGCCAGGAAGTTGTTGTTGGTGTCTTCCATCAGGTTGTTGCTGTATAAGAGGTTTCCAATCAGGTTGATGTACTAAAGTTCTTCCATCAGGCTGTTTTGAAGAAGGCAGCCCCTCAACAGGCAGTTGTGGTGGAGGAGGTATAGCTTCTGGCACTTTAGGTGGAGGTGGTTTTTTTCTATCAGAATTCAGTGGAGTATGTCTTTTATCAGTCTGTTTTGGTGGCAGCGGTTTTTCATCTGTTTGATGAGATGGAGGTTCTCGTCTCTCTATAGACTGATGCTGAGGGGGCAGTTGTTGTTTAGTATTTTTATCAATTTTTGTTTCTTCTGTAGGTGGGGGTGGTTTACCTCCCAATGGGGTTGTAGAAGGTGGAGGAGGGGGTTGAGATAAAATGTCATTTGCTGGTTGTTTTGGAAAGTGCTGCTGCATATTTTGTTGTTGTTGTTGCTTATTATCTTCACATGTTTGGGGAGGACGAGTTATGTTAATTTGCAGATTATGTTTCTGTTGTTGCTCCTCCTGTGGCAAAGGTGGTGGTGGTGGTGGCTGTTGATATGTTAGTTGTGGCGGTAATGGTGGCGTACCACTATGCTGCTGCTGTTGATGCACTGGTTTGCTTTGCTGATGCCCTCTTTGGTGAGGCTGTGTAGTTGATGTCATTTCTGCTTTTGTATGTGACTGTTGTCCCATTTTTTGAGAATGTCCAACTCTATTGATTTTGAAAGGGTTCAGGGTCAACAGTGAAGGAGGTTGGTCTGTCGGTGGTAATGGTGGTAGCGTGGACTCTGGTTCTGGTGGCGGAAGAGGTGGCAGGGCATCTTGTGCTGCATCCGGAAGTGGAGGCTGATTGTTATAGGGCTCTGCACTGGTAGCTATTCCTTTCCCAATGGATTGGTTACTTTCAAAACCAGATGAAAATTTACCATGGGTACCAACAGAGGATCCAGAAACTTCACCTCCTCTACTTGATGGCCCATAACCTCTGCCTCTATGACTCCCATACACATTTCTCTCATCCCCTCCAAAGCCGCCTTGGCTATAGGCATACCCACTAGTTGCAGCTCCTCTATCACCAAAACCTCCTCTGCTACTAAGTCTTCCTCTGCCCCTAGCGCCTGGTCTATCTCCCATGAGTCCTTGACCGCTCACACCTCCTGGGATTCCAATGTTCCTTGATTCATGGCTGTAGTTCACTCCATACATACCTGTCTGTCCATATGCTGTATTAGTAAACTGCTGCTGTTGCTGTTCATGATATAAATTTAAAAATGGAAGGTATGTGTAGCAGATAAATAATGATGATTATTCGAACCCACATCAAAAAAACATAATCAGAGTAATTTGATGGTTGATGAAAAACAAAGATTTTAATAATGATGAAGAATTTACACATTTAACACATTTATTTATTTTCTGTTTGACAATTCTCAGTTTTGGATAGCTTTGGTATCACCGGTGCATGTTAGTGCTGCCAATGAATTGGTGAGAGACTATTTAATCTCATTGTTAATCCCTTTTGTTGATTGTAGCATATACCATACACGTAACATTAGGCACTCTACAACCTTCATAATTATTCTTATCAGTCAGTTCATTTACTGTATCTATTTTTACCTGATAATATGAGTCCTGTTGGTAAGCATAACTTGACTGCCCATATCCTTGGTGTTGGTAACCATAAGGTTCATTATAACTGAATGACTGAGGCTGAGTTCTACTTGATGCATACTCTGCAGCTTCTTGCATCAATCTCTGTATTGCAGAGTCACAATCCATCTTGGTGATCTAATTAAAGCAAAGTAAAGATAATGAGGGTTGCAATTTTGATAGTGCACCATCTTTCAGAAGAGACACTGAGGCAGTTGGTCATTTGCAGTAGTGGCCATGTGTATATCATATTAAAGAACACAGTACACTCTTTTGGAATACAAGCATGATCCTCTGCAGGTTTAAGCTTTGTTTCTTTAAAATCGCTACACCATCGCTACAGTGTATTCAGTGCAATCGTTGTATTGCGTGGCAGGCTCCAACGTAATCTGGAAGGCCCCCGATTTGACCGACCAATCAGCATCACCAAAATCTCTTGGCAATAGCATGTAGCAATTGTATGGAAACAAGCTTTACTGCCAAGTTCAGACAATTTTTTTTAATTTATTGTTTTGTGAACTTATTTTTTTAAAGATCGTCAGATGAAGGTGGAAAAAAGATTAAAATAAACTGTTGTCTTCTTATTTAGCAAATAGATTTGTCAAAAACATCCAGATGGAGAAAATAAAAATAAAATATTGGTGAATGTAAACAGTGTAGGTTAGTAATGGGATGGTTAAATACTTTAAATTTATATAATTAGGTAAAAATACTGATGTCTTATTTTTGGAGCTCTCAAGGCAACAGCAGGCGTAATAAAAATAAAGAAATTTTTTTTTTTTTCAAATTGCAATTTTTTGTGGCGGCAGGTACGTTAATTGGCCAAAATGTAAATTTCATGCAAATCATCATTACTGGCGGGCAGTGGGTTCGCTGAAAAATAAGATATAAAAAAAGGTCTTGCCTTACCACCAGTACTTCAAAGAAGAAATAATTTATAGGCCTAGGCCCTACGCTTTTTCTTTGAAAAAGGTGCAGGCCAAGGCCTACTACTACTAGGCCTAATATGATCGAAAAAAAAAATCAAACTGGGCCTAGCCTACCTAGGCCTAGTCTAGCTAGGCCCTACCTAGGCTACGGCTAGGCCTACTTACGAAGCATAGGGCCTTGTTAGGCACCACTCGATTTGTGACGTCACACACTTTAATTAGCGTCATTAACCCAGTTCAGCCAAGCGTGTTTTTGTCAACAAAGGCCTTAAGAAGATATTCATATAAAATGCTTTTTGATTGGTTGAGACGTTTTCTTCTGGTCAGTCAGGTCACACAGGGGTCGAAGTACACCATTTTAATTTTTTCCGAAATCGGTCAACATTTATCAAAGTTATCAGCTTTTGCAAATTTAATTACAATTCGTCGTTTTTTCTAGAGAATTGTGAATAATAATTTGTTACTATTGAAGATTAGTTTATACAATATCTAAGAGTTTATTTGCCAAATATGAATGTAATACGAGTCGTAGCAATATTTTTTTTTGGCATAGCAAAATTGACGATCAGCTATGGATCGGCCGTCATGTACACATTGTCACAAGGCAAACCATAACGATCGTAACGAAAGTGCTGCATATAAACCGCAATATTTTTGATGTAAATAAAATAAATATGCGTTTAAAAAGTTAACTAAATGATACTTAAAGATTAATTTTGGTAATAATTTTGTCCTATACCTATATTTATGTATAGTTTTTATTATATATTATAGTTTGCGAAATTTTATACACCATTAAATAAAGTCCGTCACAACTTGCGCCAACATTTTGTCAGACAATGCAATTACACTGAGAATGCGATAAGGCTTGCAAGCGCAACAAGACTTTTTTTATGACTTATTTTTTTATTTACTTATTTCTTTAAATTTATTTATTTATTTTCATTTTTTACAAAAAAGTAGGTATATTTTATTTATATGAAGTAAAAAAAACCTTATTTATAATAAATAAAAAAGAATAAAAATTAATAGATAAAATTAGTTAAAAAAAAAAAAAACAATTATTCCCCATAAATATCTCATTTTTTTATTATGGCTTTCTGAGTATAAAACTACACTATTAGTAAGGCCACTGTACGATGTACGCTAAACAAAAATGTACGCATTACGCGGTATTTGTACGTCGTACCATGCACGATGGCCTTGCTTATAGTACCCTAAGACTACCTTTATACGAACTTTGACTTTTTCGCTACGAAACGAAAAAAAATGTTTCAACTACTTCTACCAATTTAAACATCGTAGAATCAATTTTTGAGGTATTCTTTCACATTCCTTACTTTAAAATCGTCATATTTTTCGTAAAAATAAGATTTTTTTTGATCGATAGCGCTTGGCCCACGAAACACTCCCTACCGTTTGCAGGGTAGCGACATGTCGCGAATTTACCTTGCAAAGTGACGATGCGCAGATGGATGCGTGGTAGCAC